GTAGAGAAAGCAGCAACAGCCAGGCAGTGCCTGGCTAAGCACTCACCTGAGGCGTCCTCAACCACAGCTGCCTATACCATGAGCCATAAAGCATCCCCTGGGTGAGTCTGCCCAGGAGCCCCATGCCCCATTGACATGTATTTGTACAACATCCAAATCAGATAACATCCTATTTTATAGAATGTAACAATGACATTAAGCTACACATACTTGTATTCATAAGAGATATTGGCCTGTTTTCTTTTCATGTTGTGTCTTTATCTGGTTTTATTATCAGAGTTGTGTTTGCTTCATAGAATGAATTCGGCAATATTCCTTCCTTCTCTGTTTTTTGTAATACTTTAAATAGTATTAGTGTTGATTCTGTTCTAAATGTTTGATAGAATTCCCCAGTGAAGCCATTTGGTCCAGCACTTTTTTCTTTTGCAGGTTTTTGACCACCAGTTTGACCTCTTCTCTTGTGATGGGTCTGTTGAGACTTTCTATTTCCTCTTGAGTCAGTTGTGTGCTTCTAAGAATTCGTCAATTCCGTCTCTGTTATCTAATGTGTTGCCATAATACTTTGTCATGATTCTCTTTATTTTTGTTGGATCAGTTGTAATGTCTCCTTTTTAATTTCTTGGTTATTTGCATAATTTCCCTTTTTTCTTTGTCAGTCTAGCTAATGATTTGTCAATTTTATTGATCTTTTAAAAAAAAATCAACTTCTGCTTTTATTGATTCTCTCTATTGTTTTTCTGTTTCCAGTTTTATTTATTTGTGCTCTGATCTTTGTTATTTCCTTTTTTCTGATAGGTTTAGGCTTAATTTGTTCTTCTCTTTTCTAGTTCCTGGAATTGTCAAGTTAGGCTCATTTTTCATGTAGCATTTATTGCTGTAAGTTTCCCTTTGAATAATGCCGTCTCTACATCCCATATATTTTGGTATGTTGTAATCACAGTTCTGATAACTGATTTTTTTAAAACATATGCCATATTTTGTATGGCCATTGATATGTTGGCAGTCACTTGGGTTGTTCTACCTTTTGGCTGTTGTGACTAATATAGTGAATGTTAGTGTACAAGTATCTGTTTGAGTCCTTGCTTTCCATTCTTTTGGATATATACTTAGGAGAAGAATTTCTGGGTCATATTGGTAGTTCTTTGCTTAACTTTTTGAGCAACCATCATACTGTTTTCCACAGTGGCTGCATCATTTTACATTCCCACCAGCAGTGCAACAGGGTTCCAGTTTCTTCATATCTTCATCAGCGCTAGTTTTTTTCTGGTTTTTCCATAATAACCATTTTAGTGGATGTGAAGTAGTATCTCATTGTGGTTTGATTTGCATTTTCCCAATGACTAACGATGTTGAACATCTTTTCATTTGCGTATTGGCGTTTTGTATATATTCTTTGGAGAAATATCTGTGGAAGTCCTTTGCTCATTTTTCAGTTGTGTTTGTCTTTTTGTTGTTGAGTTGTAGGAGTTCTTAATATGTTCTGGATTTTAAGCCCTTTTCACATATATGGGTGAGGGCATTGATGGTTCAGTTCCATGAGTGAGATCTGAGTTCAGTTACCAGTCAGTGCACCAAATGCACTGCTACCACCTGTCTGCCATGGTGGCTTGCGTGTAGCTATGATGTTGAACAGATTTCAGCAGAGCTTCCAGGCTAAGACATTATAAAATGATAGTGGTACATCAGAAGCTGTCTGAACTTCAGAAGAGTTAACAACCAGCATCAGCCCAAAGCTGATCCCATAAGGTGGAGGTCAGACATACCACCACTCTCCACCCTTTTTACCAATTCTTGATACCAGCTGTCCCTCTCATTGGCACTCTCTACGTGGTTCGATAATTCTCTGCAACGACCATGCAGAACTCACTGACCATACTTACAGTTAAGTGGTTTATTAATGATGTAACAGGGTACAACTTGAGATCAGGATCAATAGGCCACAACTCAGGATCAGAATCAGGAAGCATGTAAGCAAGATCGGGAAGCCTCCAGAGAAGAGAGCACTTCTCTTCCCTCTTTGTTGCAGGACAGCTCTCTTGGCTTCTGTTGGTCGTACAGGCCTCCTCTCAGCCTCCTTAGGACAGGCCTCTTTTTGACCCTTTCAGGACAGAGTTCTCGGCCCCCTCAGGACAGTCCTGTCTGCTTTCAGCTTCCCTGATATTGATCTCTCCACTGCTAACTGACCCAGCTTATAGCCCCTGTAGCAGTTTTGTTCAGCTCTCTTAGCTGCTTTCCTAGCAGCAGGTTTCTGCCATCACCATAAGCTCTGCTGCCAGGCTCTTTCTGGGTCTGTCACCTCTGGCTCTGCCACAGGGCCTCTTCCAGGCCTCTTGGTGCCTTTAGTGTTATAGCCTTTAGTCTTTGTACAGGTCTTTTAAGAGCTTCCTTGCCTCCTCTCTCTCTGCTTCTCTCTTCTTGCCTTTCTTGCCTTTTCTCCTTTCTGTTTCCTTCTTCTTTCTTATTCTGCCTGTCTGCCAATCTCTTTGTGGTTGAGTGCATTTGTAAGCAGACTCCTTCCACTAGGGCCATGAACTGACCTACCCTCTCTCAGTAGGGCATTGTCACTTCATTTGCATAGTAGGCTATAGTCATTTCATTTATATAGTTAAGTATATGATTAATCCCTGCAGGGTGCATAAGATAGGCCAATCATAGAGCCAGAGAAAAAATACCAAAGCACAAGTTGTTTGAAGTTGACCCAGGAAATGTCAGTCAGCCTGGACAAAAGTAACAAATCCTCTGGGATAGAAAACTGGGGCAGAGATATCTCATCAGGGCTTCAAGGAAAAATCTCTCAAGCTGTTTTATTTATTATTATTACTTTTATTGTCATTTGGGTGAAAGTTTACAGAGCAAATTGACTTTCCATACAGCAGTTTACATACACATTGTCTAATGACATTGACAGTTTACCCCAATGCAACACCTCCCCTCCCACTTCCTTCTACTTCCTCCTGATAGTTACTTCTTCCCTATGTCCATCCCTCCATGCACTCTTGCCCCCTGAGCTGTCTCCCTGTGCATAAACAGTCCTTCTTCCATGATTGTTCTCTTCAAGGAGTGTATCTACCTCAGGTGCATGTTCAACTCTTATGCCTGTCTTTCATTTGGCTGGAAACCACAAGTATGGGGTCAATTCCAGACTTGAAGGGCAGCTAGGGGCCATAGTCTCAGGGGTTCCACCAGGCTCTATCAGACCAGCAAACCTGGTCTCCCCCTTTTTTTTTTTTCCCAAATGATTTTGAGTTTTTGTTCCACATTGTTCTCCCTTTCTATCCAGGATCTCCTACATAGATCCACCTCCAACTGGTTGACAGTGGTAGCCAGGCACCATCTAGTTCTTCTGGTCTCATAGTTGTATAGGCTGTGGATTGCATGGTGTACCAGTCACCAGGACTAATTGTTTCCATGAATCTTTGGTTTTCTTCATTCTTCTTTGCTCTAGACGCAGACAGACCCATCATTGCATGTAGATGGCTGCTTGCAAGCTTTTAAGATCCCAGTCACTACTCGCCTAAGTAGGAGGTGAAACAGTGTTTTGTGTATTATGTTATGCCAGTTGAGTTTGATGTCCCCTGTGACTGTGGTCCCGAGCCTACAGGTTCAACTACTCGGTCCCTCTGGGTAGCTGGCTGTGACCAAGAAGTGACTACAGCCTTGTCCCTTGTCAGCTCTACTATACTGCTGGGAGTTCTTATAGAACATACACAAACCATTTTATATGGCAAAAGGCCGTGTAAAAACTCGTTTAAAAAAAAAGAAAGTAAGTCCTGGACAGAGAGGAAGGAAAAAAAAATGTAAAACAAAATTCAAAAACATGTAAAAGACCAGACCTACTGGTCTGGTAGAGACAAGTGGAACCTCAAGACTGTGGCAGTTAAGACACTCTTCAACGCTGGAACTGAACTTACTCTTGGGGATCAACTTTCAGCCAAACAGCAAACAAGCCTGTACTATATATAAATAATAATTCCGAGGAGGAATGTACTCCTATATACAGTCAACCACACAAGACCCAAAAGTCAGCATTTGTCCAAAAACAAAAGATCTGAAGGCAGAAAGGGGCAGGAAAAACGGACAAATGGAAATGTGGAATCCAGGGAGGAAGTGGGAAGAGTGCTGTTATATTGAAGTGATTGCAACCTATGTCATGAAACAAAACGTGTATAAGTTGTTGAGTGAAAAACTAATTTGCTCTGTCAACTTTGATCCAAATTACAATAAAAAGAAAGTGTTATAATTATAAAAAAAAACAAACAAACAAACTCATTTTACCAGCATACTAGGAAGAAAGGCCCAATGATCTACTTCCAAAAATCAACCATTACAAACCCTGTGGATCATGACAATCCAGTCTACGACCAGTTGTGGTGAAGGTGTGGGACTGAGTGCGTTTCAGTTAGTTGTGCTTGGTGCCACCATGAATTGCAGGCCAACACACCAGCAACTAACAACATCAGATATATAAATTTGCAAATATTTTCTTCCATTCTATAGATTATTTTTTCACTTTCTTGATAATGTCCTTTGATGCTCAGAGTTTTAAATTTTGATTGAAGTCCAATTTATCACTGTTTCTTTTATTGTTCATGCTTTTCATGTCATATCTAAGAATTCATTGCCAAATCCAAGGTCCTGATGATTAACCACTATGTCTCCTTAAACCAAAAACACCAAACACACTGCCATAGAGTCAATTCTGACTCATAGTGACCCTATAGGACAGAGTAGAACTGCCCCATAGAGTTTCCAAGGCTGTAAATTTTTACAGAAGTGGACTGCCTCATCTCTCTCCTGTGGAGCAGTTAATGGGTTTGAACCACCAACCTTTTGATTAGCTGCTGAATGCTTTAACTACTGTGCTACCAGAGCTTGTAGAAGTTTTATGGTTTTAGTGCTTATATTTGGTAATTGATCCATTTTGAGTTTATTTCTGTTTATGAGGTAGCAGTTGGTAATGATTTTGATGTAATTGCTCCCTTGTTTTCTTTCTGTTCCAGAAGCCACATTTGTTTCGGCATGAAGTCTCCAGAGGAGATGCGCCAGCAAGCGCACATCCAGGTTGTGAGTAAGAACTTGTACAGCCAGGACAACAATCATGCCCCTCTGCTGTATGGGGTGCTGGACCACAGGATGGTAAGACTGCTGTCTCCGTGGCTCCCCCAACGTCCTGTGTTTTGACGTGCTCATAAAACTGGGGAAGGCGACTTTCCATCTCCCTTATGCCCCATGTGCTTCTCAGACCCAGTCAGGGATTCCAGCCTTCAGTCCACTGAATGTAAATATGTTCTAGTTTCCCAGTTGATTCTGAGCCATTTTGGCATATGAGGACCGGTCCCACTTTCCTTTCAGTGGTCTCCATTGACTATTGAATGTGGTCTTATCCAAAGGGTACAAGTGAGAAGGATCGTCCTTGTGAAACCTGTGGAAAAAACTTGGCTGACTGTCTAGGCCACTATGGATATGTTGACTTGGAATTGCCTTGTTTTCATGTGGGATACTTCAGAGCAGTTATAGGCATCTTACAGGTAAGTGCCCATGTGTTGATTTCCGAGGCATAAATTCTAGAGTCATTATTCAGGGGACATTAGAATGAGCTTAGGAATTGTGAGGGGTAGGGAATACAACTAAGGGAGATTTTTATACTGAGTACAAATGTTTTTATCTGGCACTACATTAAAGTGCTGAAGGATTATTTATTCTTTTATTTCCCTGGAGAGGGTGATACATACACATTGTAAAAAATATTTAAAGTACACTGCTAGATAGAGACAAGTATTGATTGGGGTGAAGGGAAGGGCAATGTATCAAATGTGAATGATCAACATGGTAGCATTGAGGAGGAGGAAGACAGAGAGAGGTGCATGGGAGGTACAGACAAAAAAGATGAAACTTTTTGTACATACAGTACTGCATTGTCCGTGATGGCAAACATTGATCTATGGGTGGGTAGATGGGTGAACAGACTGAACGATTAGGTATGTCTATGCAAGGGGAGTGTGCCCATGACCATGTATAGGGTTGGCAGACAATGGTTCTACAAGTGTATTTTTATGTTTTGTAAGAATTTTTAGGTATATAGTAGAGCTGACAAGGGACAACTTTGTAGTCACTTCTTGGCCACAGCCAGCTACACAGAGGAAGCGAGTAATTGGACCTGTGGGCTGGGGACCATGATCACAGGGGACATCAAGCTCAATTGGCATATTATACTACACAAAAACATTGTTCTATACCCTACTTTGATGAGTGGCAACTGGGATCTTAAAAGCTTATAAGCAGCCATCTAGATGCAACGATGGGTCTCTCTTCATCCAGAGCAAAGAAGAATGAAGAAAACCAAAGATTCATGGAAACATTTAGTCCTAGCGACTCATATACCATGCATTCCATAGCTTGTATGATTATGAGACCAGAAGAACTAGATGGTGCCCTGCTACCACTGTCAACCACTGGGAGGGGTATCTATATAGGAGATCCTAGATAGAGAGGGAGAACAATGTGGAACAAAAGTCAAAATCATTTGGGGGAAAAAAGGGGGAGGGGGACCAGGTTTGCTGGTCTGATAGAGCTTGATGGAACCCCTGAGACTATGGCCCCTAGCTGCCCTTCAAGTCTGGAATTGACCCCACACCTGTGGCTTCCAGCCAAACAAAAGACAGTTGAATTTAACATTTACACTCCTTGGAGAGAACAATCATGGGAGAAAGAAGGGCTGTTTATGCACAGGGAGATAGCTCAGGGGGGCAGGAGTGCATGGAGGGGTGGACACAGGGAAGAGGTAACCATCAGGAGGAAGAGGGAGGGGAGCTGTTGAATTGTGGTAAATTCTAGTCAATGTCATGAGACAAAGTGTGTATGACCTGCTGTATGGAAAGTGAATTTGCTCTGTAAACTTTCACCCAAATCACAATGAAAAAAAAAAAAAAAACTTGCAAGTGGCCATATAGGCACAATGATGGGTCTCTCCTCATCCAGAGCAAAGAAGAATGAAGAAAACCAAAGACACATGGAAACAATTAGTCCAGGTGACTTGTACACCATGCGATTCTCAGCCTATACGACTATGAGACCAGAAGAACTAGATGGTGCCTGGCTACCACTGCCAACCACTCGGAGGGGGATCTGTGTAGCAGATCCCGGTTAGAGTGGGAGAACAATGTAGAACAAAACTCAAAATCATTAAAAAAAAAAAAAAAAAAGACTATGTTTGCTGGTCTGATAGAGCTTGGTGAAACCCCTAAGACTATGGCCCCAGCTGCCCTTCAGGTCTGGAATTGAACCCATCCTATGGCTTCCAGCCAAACAAAAGATAGGCATATGAGCTGAACATTTACATTAGGTAGATACACTTCTTGGAGAGATCAAGCATGGGAGAATAGAAGGGCAGTGTATGCACATGGCGACAGGTTGGGGGCAGGAGTGCATGGCAGAGAAGGACACAGGGAAGAGGTAACTATGGGGAGGAAGTGGGCGGGAACTGTTGCATTGTGGGAGATTATAGTCAATGTCATGAGACAAAGTATATGTGAGCTGCTGTGTGGAAAATGAATTTGCTCTGTAAACCTTCACCCAAATCACAATAAAAAAAAGTTCAAGCACTATATAGCAGCACAAATTAAAAAATGAAAATTAACAAAACTCCTTATACCCAGTGTGACTATTGCTGAGGTTCTAGTGAACACTGGCCATCTCTCTGCATGTCTGTGTATACATATGTGTCTACCACCATTCCATATCCTGGATAAGGGGGGTGGCATTTTACAAAGAAAAGTTTTCTTTGTCACTCTTCCTCTTAATGTTCTGTTTAATTTTTAAAAGATGATCTGCAAAACCTGCTGCCACATCATGCTGTCCCAGGAGGAGAAGAAGCAGTTTCTGGATTATCTGAAGAGGCCCGGCCTGACTTACCTTCAGAAGCGAGGCCTGAAGAAGAAAATCTCCGATAAGTGCCGGAAAAAAAACATTTGTCATCACTGTGGTGCTTTTAATGGTGAGTGGGACATGTGATAGGTTTCATGATAATCCTTTACACCCACTGTCCTCTGTTTGCTTTACTAGTTCTATGTCCTTTTTCAGGGGCAGCTTTTTCCCTGGTACATTAGTTGCAGAGCCTGGCAGCTGACACACTTATTAGCAGCTGCACCTCTCATCCTTCTTGGCTATAGCATTTTCAGTTGTTTCATTAACCAGATGACAACCTCTAGCCAACCTAAACCTAATTTTGAACTCTAATTTCTTTTATTCTTTCTAAATGAATTAACTCTTATAGGTACTGTAAAGAAGTGTGGATTACTGAAGATAATTCATGAGAAGTACAAGACCAATAAAAAAATGGTAGATCCAATTGTATCAAATTTCCTTCAGTCTTTTGAAACAGCCATCGAACATAACAAAGAAGTGGAGCCTCTGCTGGGAAGGGCCCAGGTGAGCCTGAAAGTGCACACCCACCCTCTGTCTGCCTCCCCCATTGTCTTAGTTACCTAATGCTGCTGTAGCATACTGCAAATAGGTGGTTCAGAGAACATACAGTTGTTTTCTCATTGTTCAGAAAGCTAGAAGTCCACATCCAGGGCTTTAGGGAAAGGCGCTCACTCTCTGTCAGCAGACACTCTGTCAGCTCTCTGGCAAAATCCTTGTCTCAGCTTCTGTAGCCCCAGTATTCCTTGGTTCCTTGGTGATCCCCACGTGGTGGCTGTCTTCTCCCATTTGTGCTTGCTTGTCTCTGTGTCTAATTTACTCTCAGTGATTGGGTTTAGGATACACGCCACACTGGTATATGACCCCATTAACATAACAAGGAAAGCCCTGTTCCCAAATGAGATTATATCCACAAATGTAGGGGCTGGAATTCCAATACACAGTTCAATCCATAATACCCATATATCATGCACTCTCTCTCACTCTCATACTCATATCTCCCTCACCTTTTTCCAAAGTGAAAAGTCCCTTTAAGTTGGTACAGAAGTTCAATTAAGTTAGCAATTAAGCTAAGAATTCATATAAAGAAATACTTTGTGCAACAAGTCTTTATCTGGTACTAAGTTTAACAGCACAGTTTTAATGATCTAATCAACGTGGAATGTTTTTACTGTAAAAGATTTTAAAATCATAGATATCCAGAGTATAAACTGAAAGATCCTATTCCCCACATGGATGACGAGGTACAGGAAGATTCAGATAACTCCCTTTACAGTCATTAGTTTACTTTCAATGGCTCAAACTTAACTAATAGAATTTTATGATGTGTCTTTTTTTTTCTTGCCCTGGATTTGATTAGTGCTTAATCCTCCTGGTACTGTCTACAGTTGATGATACATGAAACTAATAAGTTATGTGAGTGCCTACTGAGTACCCAGCCTCCACTGGACCTGTGAGGGAGTATCTGGAACTGTGGGTTTTGAGTCTGTTCTACAGGGTCACACAGCTTAGATGTGAAAAGGAAACTAATAGGGCACATGAATATCAAGGATGGTAAGTTCAGTGGGAAATTAGAGGAGAGAGATGTCACTTTAGCCTTGGTGGTTGGGGATGACTATGAGAAAAGGCCTAGTCTTTAAACTTGAATAGAATTTGAAGAGTCAGGAGCAATGAGCTAAGCATGTCCAGGGTTATGTAGTGTGTAGGCTCATCCTGGAATGGAATGGAGGATCTGTTTGGAGGACCAAAGAGCACTGATAATTACAGCTTACATTTAGTACTTGCACTTACATGCAGGTGCTGTTCTGAGTGCTTCACATGAACTGTTGTTGTAACTGTAGAGAAAGCTGAGACATAGGCCGAGAAGGTAGCTGCTGTCCCTCCACCACCGTGGATGGAAGTGAGGAGCTCTCTGAGGTGGTGGCTTGTGTGGAAGTGAGGCTAGAAGCCTGGGAGGCGGCTTTGGTCAGTGAACCTGCTTTCTTGTCCTTACTTGCATCTCTTCCTTCCAGGCACACTGTTTTGCTTTTAGATTAGCATCCTTGACTTCTCACCACTGCCACTGTCTCACCAGTTCTCAGCTTGGGAATCCACAGGGACTGTCCCTTGCTTTTAGAGCGCTGCTTCTCTGTCTCAGCACATGGAAAAAGCAGGGACTGGGAGGCCTTTTTCTATGAAAAGCCTCCTAAATGATTCAACGTGAGAAATACCCCCCTCCCATTTAAAGGTCACTTGTCTGACACATCAAGCTAGACTCTCAGCTTTCCCCAGCTGCCACCACCTTCCTGCCAATCCCACCCTACTTTTCCAGAGTTGACATCTAAGAGGTTCATTGGCAACACTCATGAAAATGGCACAAAACCAGGCAGTGTTTCCTTCTGTTACACGTAAGGTTGCCGTGAGTCAGAGACAACTCAGCAACAACTAACAACCACCACAGCAGGGTAGTGGGTAAGAGCCCTGGCTTTGGATCAGACAGACCTGGGATTAGAGCCTAGCTCTGCCACTTACTAAGCTCTATGACCTTGGACAAGTGACCTCACCTGGACTTTAGTCTCCTCATCTATAAAATGGGGATTACAAGTGTCTGGTTTTGGTCTCTTGTGAGGATGAAGAAATGAAGTCCAAATCAAGTACTTAGCACAGTCCCTGGTATGGAGCAAGTACTTAGTGCATATTATCCAATTTTGGTAGTGTTGTCACTGCTGCTGGCACTTCTGTAACATAATAATATAGGTAGGACTTCATCCCATCTCTCTGCATGTATGATCTACTCATAGTGTCTGTCTAACCCAAGAAAGCCTCTCTTGCCTCTCTCCCCTCACCAGATTTCCACTGTTTCCATGAAGCTGCCTCTGATATCTAGAACCCCTTCTTAATATCTGGACCCCCACCCCCACCCTTTTTGCTCTACCCTTCCCTGAACCACGTGTACATTATTCATGCTACATAAAACACTTGATCATATCACTTGTGTTCTGTCTTGCATGTTTTGCTTGTTTTCTAAGAGTGATCTAACAAGCTCCATTTTTCTGAGATCATTTTTTATGCCTGCCACTGTGCTTGGAGCAGTGACAGATCCTCTGTGTTCATCATCAGCTCAGCCTGGTCCTTCCAGAATTACTTGTGGGGGGCAGAAATGTCACTTTAGCATTTGCCTCATCCCAGGCCCTTTACTCGCTGAAACATCAGTGAGCGCATTTGCATTTTGTGGAGAGGGGCCGCATACAAACGTGTCCTATTGCCCAGTGCTCATTGAAGTAAGTATTTCAGGATGGCCCATGGTCCTGGCATTTTCACCTGGTCATTTAGTTTTCAGGCACTTGGAACGTGATACCTTTCTAGGCAACACACTAGGATTGAGTTGGAAGAGGCCCTAGAGTGGTTTTTAACCTTTTCAGGGCATAGACACCCCTCTTTAACAATTAGGCAAAAACTGTGGCCTCTCTTGCCTGAAGACTAATGTATACTCACACCAAACTTTAATACAAACCCAGGGGTTTGTAGACTTGCAAAGAAGAGTTCCTCCATAGAGTTCATCAGTCCTGTCCCCCTCACTAGATAGAAATATCTCCTACTATGTCACAATGTGTGTAACAAAATACTTTTGTTTTTAGTGTGTAATAGAATAAACCAGCAGCCTCTTCCATGTGCCTCTTGGCAAACATTTATTATGTCCCTTTTGAATTTTCTTTTCCATACTAGCAGCTCCTTTCTTTTCTTTAACTGTTCTTGCTAAGAGATAGTTGCCAGACTCTTGCCAGTCCTCACACCCTCCAAACATCTTTCAGGTTCCTTATGTTCTTGTCTAATACTGACTGGTACTCCCAATGACATCTGGCCTTTGTATCAGCCCTAGAGCTCTACTCATACAGTCCTGGATTTATACCTAACTGCCTTGTGGCTAGAAGACAGGGTCTTTGTGGAAGGGAATTCTGCTCTGGGCAAGGACCTTGAGTACAAGGCCTATTTGGGGGGAATTCCTTCCATCTCCCCAGCTGCATCTCTCCAGAGTGGGCCATAGTAATTCTCTTACTGCAGTGTTCTAAATGCTTTTTTCCCCTTCTCATGAAGTTATGCACAGCAAATTCTGCTTATAACCTGTACTCTCAGTCACACAATCTAAGATCGCGAGAAAGTTTAACAAACAGGCAACAAGACACAGTTGACCATTCTTAGAGCTTTGGATCTCTCTGAAAATTGCATAGTTCTTATAATATGATTAGGTGGTTACAGCATAGGACTTTTTATTAAATGAAGTTATTCCAAACACAATATAAGCTCATTACAGAAAAACTCAAATATGAAAAGAGAAGTAAAACGATTATAATTCTGTTCACTTAAAGGCAGTCCAGGTAACACCTTGGTGACCCCTTGCATTTCCTTTTCTCTGCATAGATGTACATTCCCTTCCTTCCCCCACTCCCCATGAGATGATACACACATGCTTATTCCATGCACCAATATTTTGCAAACACTTTTCCGTATTAATAGCTACATTTCTGTAGTGCTATTTTTCAATAGCTTCATAGTTTTCCATGTATAGATCATCAGTGATTTATTTAGCCTATAACCTGTCTGATTGTATCCAACTTTTCACAGTTAAAAACAACTGTAGTGAATATTCTTATAGCTGAATCTTTGTATTCATTTCTCAGATTATACCCTTTGAAACAGTTATGAGAAGTGGAATTATTGGCTTAAATAATTGGAATAAGGGACATGCACCTTTTTAAGTCTCTTGCAGCATAGCATGTTATCAACAAATTTGTATTGTCTTGTGTACTCACTTTAAGTTAAATGACAGGTTAGAAAATGTGAAGAAGTAAACCCTTGTCCAGGTTATGAAAAATTAATATAGTATCTTCATTCCTTCCTTTCCATAGGAAAACTTGAATCCCTTAGTAGTTCTGAATTTATTTAAACGAATCCCAGCTGAAGATATCCCTCTACTTCTAATGAACCCAGAAGCTGGAAAGCCCTCCGATTTGATTCTCACGCGACTTTTGGTACCCCCTTTGTGTATCAGACCCTCTGTTGTCAGTGATTTGAAGTCTGGCACCAATGAAGATGATCTGACCATGAAATTAACAGAAATCATTTTCCTAAATGATGTCATTAAAAAGGTCAGTGCTTGTTCTGGTTGTCTAGTGCCGCTCTGACAAGAAAATACAACAAATGAGATGACTGGAACAAACAGGAGTTTATTCTCTTACAGTTTGGGAGGCTAGAAGTCCGAGTTCAAAGTGCCAGGCTCTAGGGGCTGTGTGAAAAGCTCTCGACCTTGGGCTGCAGCTCTGCCTCTTGCTCCTGGCCCACTGAAGCTAGAGGCATCTCTTCACTCAGGCAGCTACTGGCTGCTGAGGCTAACAAAGCCAGTGTCAACAAATAAATGGCACAGTCCTGATGGTACCAAACTATATGGCAGGCCATTAATTCAAGTCCATTGAAGGTCCCAGGGACGGCAGAGCATGGCAGGCTGCTAAAAAATGACATGGTTACATGCAGGGGTCAAAGTGCCATAAGCTAGCGACCATTCACAAAGCTGTTCCTTATATACGGGAAGCAGACCACATACCCAAAGGCAGCTACTCAGCTGCTCACAGTAGATTCCACCATGGAGTTGATTATCAGTCTCATCATGGGCAATCCTACATCCAGCTGCCCAGCCACTCAACCAGGCCCAGCCAAATTGACACACAAACTTAACCACCACAGTGCTTTCTATTATTTCTAAGACTGGACAATACATACCTATACAAAAATGCCCAGTCAAGAAAATGAAGCTGAAACTGTGGTCAATGACATGAGACAAAGTATATGTGAACTGCTGCATGGAAAGTGAATTTGCTCTGTAAATCTTTGCCCAAATCACAATTTAAAAAAAAAAAATGAAGCTGAGGGTGCCATTACTGAACATTTTGGTCAAAGATTCTCTCAAAGAATCATTGATCAAAAGGGGGAAGGTACAGAACAGAATGTTAAATTTTCATGGACTCCAGACTTTCTGGATCCATAGAGGCTGAATGAATCCCTGAAACTATTTCCCTGAGATAATCTTTAAACTTTAGGCCCAAAATATCCCCTGAATTGTTCTTAAAACCAAACACTGGTTTAGCTTAACTGGTAAAAAATGCCTGCCTTGGGGATTGTGCTCTTTCAAGTTTTATTATAGGAAGCAATTTGACAACAGCAACTCAAACGATAAGATAGGAACTTTTGAGGGTAGTGAGTTTATGTTGATGAGGGTGGAGCAACTCAGAAAGGGAGAATGCAAATGAATGGCTGTACAACTCAAAGAATGTGATCGGTGTCATTGAGCTGTACATGCAGAAACTGTTGAATTGGTGTATGTTTTGCTGTTTGTTTTCTCAACAACAACAAAATAAAATGTTTTAAAAATGAAGCAGAAAATCAAGACAACCACAGAAACAATCTTGTTCTATTCATTGTCTGCTCACTTTAGCATCGAATATCTGGAGCCAAGACGCAGATGATAATGGAGGACTGGGATTTCCTGCAGCTGCAATGCGCCCTCTACATTAACAGTGAGCTCTCAGGCATTCCCCTCAACATGGCACCCAAGAAATGGACAAGAGGTTTTGTCCAACGCCTGAAGGGAAAACAGGGTACGTTTTGGACAGAATGTGCAGGAAACAGTCCATTGTCTGTGGTAAAATTTTTTAGACTACATATCAAGCTTACCTAGTCAGAGATTGGAGGCTTTCCTCAATTTCTCTGTTTATATAACCCCTCAAACAGCATATTCTGTGCCACTGGGTTCTGTGACATATTTTTATTTGCTTAGGTCGATTTAGAGGCAACCTCTCAGGAAAAAGAGTGGATTTTTCTGGCAGAACCGTCATCTCACCTGACCCCAACCTCCGAATTGATGAGGTGGCTGTGCCAGTTCACGTGGCCAAAATTCTGACTTTTCCTGAAAAGGTCAGTACTATTCAGCTGCTCACATTCTTATTTTGAATCTCATCTTTTACATTATATTTTGATGTTCATACAACAAAAAAGTAGAAAGTGCCCAGTAACCCACCTAACCCACAGCTTGGTATATGTGAGAGTGTGTGTGTACCTTTCTGATTTATTTTATATGTAACAGTTGACTCATGTTGTTTCCTGTAGTTTTGTTCTACGAAGTCCCCACAAACACTGAATTAGTGAATTCTAAACCTAGTCTTGTTCATTAGGATTGCTGGGAATATACATGGTGGGTAGTTAAAATTTTTTGTTGGTCTGCATATGCCCGTGTTGGCAAATTGCCGCAAAATACCAGCAGAATTACTGATTGGGGGTTATAAATACATCTTTAGAGAGTAGATTTGCAAATATTGAATCTGCAAATAATGAGGATATATATTTACACACAGCATACTACCACAGTCATCTCTAGCTTCATGTGTATGTATTAGATACACTGTTCTGAAACTTTTTCTAATTAATGACATCTTGGATATTTCTATAATTAGTTCATACCTCATATTTTAAAAGGATTAAACAATAAACAAAAACCTTATTTATGTTTCTTGGGATAAATTATTCTTAAAACTTTAGAATCACTGAATCAAAAAGTTGAAACAATTTTCTAAATAAATTTTTTCAGTGAAAATATACATAGCAAAACAATACCAGTTCAACGATTTATACATGTACAATTAGTTGCATTGATTATATTCTTTGAATTGTACAACCATTCTTACTATCCTTTTCCAAATTATCCCACCACCATTAAGATAAACTCCCTGCCCCTGAGGATTCTCATCTAATGTTTTAAGTTACTATTATCAATTTGATGCTATACAGATAATTCTTTTAAAGAATGCAATGCTCAAAGCAAACACTCTTTACTAATTAAGCTGAACTGTTGTTTGGTTTAAAGATGACTTCAGGGGATAGTTTTAGATTAAGTTGTTTTTTTTTTAGATTTTATTTTATTTTATTTTTTTTTAATTGTGATTTGGGTGAA